CTGCACTCTAGACCTTAGGATCACTAGACCTAATGATAAATCATAGTGCTTTGTTGATAGTTGACTAACCGTTACCATACCAGTTCAGAGCCAGTCTTTGAAGTTCAATCCTCAAGGGGACATTGTCTCATTGAACAACCGTTCTCACAGAGTGAGTGCAGACTAGCCCTTTCCGCCAGTTCAGCCCTTCTTAAATCCTTAACAGCCAGGTTGCAATTTTGGTTGGCGTGCGTATACGGACTCAATGCTCTTGACGAGTCATCTGGTTTGTCTCACTTCCTCCAACTCTAGCTGGAGTATATTGGTTTGTTGGAGGAACCAGAGAATCGAATCCCGAAGACAGAAGAGGAACCTCCACGCGTTCAACCCGAAAATCGGAGACGGGTGTGAACCATGCCGAACAGCCACGGCTTCAAGTCAGCATAGCAGTTGCTGCCTTCGACCCTACTTTGCCCGCCTCTCAGACGCACTGAAGCACCAGATCAATGATCGCGAAGAAGACATCCCGATCCGCGTCGGCCGTCTCGAGACCAAGTCCAAGGACCAGCAGCCGCTTCTCATCCGGCGTCTTGGTGACAATAGCACTCGCGATCTGCCGAGCATACAGCTGGCCAACAACCTCACGGCCTGGAGCTCGACCGCCCAGAAGCGACGTAGCGGTCAAGTTGCTAATCGGAAGAAGGCTGTCATCCGAAGAATCGGGGATGATGTGGAAACCCTCTGTACCGGGATTCTTGTTCTCCAAGGGGACGTGCAGCTGTGGTTGGTCAGTGGAGAAGTTCGATGCAATGCGTGAACGGATCACAGACCCAGTGGCCGAGTCGACCTTTTTGAGAGATAGTCACCAAGATCCGGTCACTGAATTTGACAAGCATCACATCGGTGGGGATCCCATTAATGACCCCGGCGGCTTGTTTGGTGACTGCGGGGAAGGGTAGGTTGATTGGTTCCAGAAAAGGATCAAGATTGATTGCTTCGGCCATGATGGCAAACTGAGAATCTGTTCGTAATCTATGCTTATAAGGTCGCGCAAGAAGCCAAGGGTATCATGCCACAATGACAAAAATAGAGTACGATCTGACGAAAGCTGTTTTGGAGCAGGAGAGGAAAGAGCTGTAGTTATTCATTCCCCACCGGCGATCATCACAGAAGGCGGTGAGTAAACATCTCACCGCCTGCGGGGCAGAATGGCTCCGCCGCGTAATTTTTTCTCTCCTCATGGATTGAGCATCATTATCACAACTCAAATTTCTCTTATTTTGTGGCCATTCGATCCTGGTAGATTGAGTGGGAGCGATCGCTTCTACCTCCAGGCACCATGCCCAAGTTTGTTCCCCGTCAGCGGAAGCAGAAACACCGGCAGCAGACGGAGTCAACCGCCGGGGTAGATACCAATGCTGCCGAAATTTTGCCCGTCTCCAAAAGTGAGAAGGAAGCCAAGCGACAGAAGCTGAAGGAGGAATTGAAGTCGCAGAACCCTACTATATCCTCCAAGAAACAGAAGCGCCTGGATAAGTACATTGTGCGTCTTCTATTGTGCGCTGCTTAGGAGACCCTTCTAACCTCGCTCGCAGGAAACAAAATTGAAGAAAGAGGAGAACATTGAACTGTTGAAGAAGCTCGCGCAAAGCAAGATCGATACCTCTGCTCTTCAAAGCACGAAGGAGCTCGGGAAGCGCAAAAGACCTGATGAGAGACCGCCCCGGCCGACGACTACAGACCGCAATGCCTCCCACGTCGATTATTCCTCCGGTGACGAGACAGACGATTCGCTACCTCCGGCCAAGTCCATTGCCATCGCGAGTACACCTGCAGAGTCCCAGACAGTGGGCAGTGGTTTGAAACGCCCACTCGAAATCGGACCCGATGGGTTCCCAATCCTCAAGAAGCGGAAACGCGCGCCCAAGAAAAAGCCGATGATTACAATATCTATGCCTGAGGTTCCTTGGGATGGATTCGGATCAGATGACGAGGGCGAGAAGGAAGAGGATGAGGAGGAGGAGGTTGATAAAGAACATCCCGGAAAGGACTCAGATGAAACGTCAGAGGATGATAAAAGCGAGGATGACAGCGACAGCGGGAGTGACGAGGACGAGGACGAGGACGGAGAAAGCAACGATGATGAGGAGGAGGAGGAGGAGGAGGAGGAGGAGGAGGAAGATGACGACGAAGACGACGAAGACGAAGAAGATGATACGGATGACCTAAAAAAAATCAAGCCGCGACAGTCCGCATTCAAGGATTGGGCTCGGCAGCAAATTAATGAAGCCGTGGGATTCACGCCTACGACCGTCCCCATTGTCGCCGAACCGATGCCATTTATCCCTGAATCAAAGAGACCGGTGAGGAACACAGTCTATGTGGAAGAACCGCTGCCTCGAGAGCTACAGGTCACTACTGGAGATCCCAACCGAAAGGCCTTCAGCGTTCAAGTCAATCGTTCCGAGGAAATACAGCAGGCACGTCTAGGCCTGCCCGTTGTTGGTGAGGAACAGAAGATTATGGAAGCCATCTACAACAACCCTTCGATCGTGATTTGGGGTGCTACTGGTAGCGGTAAAACCACCCAGCTACCCCAGTTTCTGTTCGAAGCGGGCTATGGCCATCCTGACGGTCCTAACCCTGGAATTATCGCTATTACCCAGCCGCGCCGAGTCGCTGCTGTCAGTATGGCGAAACGTGTAGGCGATGAGCTGGGTCAATTTTCCGACCGTGTGTCTTATCAAATCCGGTTCGACAGTACGGCAACCAGCAAAACTGCCGTCAAGTTCATGACTGACGGTATCCTCATTCGAGAGATTGCCGAAGACTTCTCATTGAAGAAGTACTCTGTCATCGTGATCGATGAAGCCCATGAGCGTAGTGTCAACACAGATATCCTCATTGGCATGGTGAGTCGAATTGTTGATCTGCGGAAGTCAATGAGCGAGGAAGATCCGTCTGTCAAGCCTTTGAAGCTGGTGATCATGTCTGCTACTCTGCGCATTTCCGATTTCACGCAAAACCCCAGTCTATTCCGCCAGGGACCACCACCATTGGTGCAGGCTGAGGGTCGTCAATACCCCGTCACTATTCATTTCTCCAGACGCACCCACCGTGACTATGTCGAAGAGTCTTTCCGCAAAGTGTCGCGGGGCCATCGCAAGCTGCCTCCCGGTGGTATTCTTGTATTTTTGACCGGACAGAACGAGATCCGTCAACTTTCCAAACGGCTGAAGCAGACCTTCAACCCTACTCAGCGAGCAGACACCACCCAGGTGAAGGTCCAGATATCGGCCAACGATGCGCCGTTGGAGACGGAAGATCTGGAAATCGGCGGTGCCGATTTGTCCGTTCCTGGCGGCGAAGGAGATGATGAAAGTGACTACGAGATCACTGGTTTGGATGAGCCTGACGAAGAAGACGAAGAATTCGACCTGGGTGAAGAGGCCATGAGCTCAACGACTCGGGTCCACGTGTTGCCCCTGTACTCTCAGCTTCCGACCAAGGAGCAGCTCAAAATCTTCGAAGAGCCCCCAGAGGGCTCGCGTCTCATTGTTCTGGCCACCAACGTGGCGGAGACCAGTCTGACCATCCCTGGCATCAAGTATGTGTTTGACTGCGGCAGAGCTAAGGAGAAGCAATATGATCTGTCCACCGGAGTGCAGAAGTTCCAGATTGAATGGATCAGCAAGGCCAGTGCAAACCAGCGAGCAGGTCGTGCTGGTAGAACTGGACCGGGCCACTGCTACCGCCTCTATTCGTCCGCGATCTACGAGAACGAGTTTGCCGAGTACACCGACCCAGAAATCCTGCGCACGCCGATTGAAGGTGTTGTGCTGCAGATGAAGAGCATGGGTCTGCACAACGTCATTAACTTCCCCTTCCCCACGCCCCCTAGCCGGCAAGGCCTGGCCAAGGCCGAAAAGCTGCTGAAGAATCTGGGGGCCTTGACATCGGAGGGCAAGATCACACAGATCGGTAACCGGCTCTCTACCTACCCTCTATCTCCTCGATTCGGCAAGATGCTGTACGTGGGCCACCAGCACGGCTGCATGCCGTACGTGATCGCCCTCGTTGCCGCTCTGGCAGTGGGCGACCTCTTTGTCCCCCAGAGTCAGATCGATCCCGTGTCGTCGACATCCAATAATGACGGAGGTGTGTACACCAACGCGGACCGGCTCGAGGATACGGCGCGGGAGCAACGCCACAAAGACTACGCGCGGGCTCATCGCCTGTTCAGCAAGCATGACGATACCTCGGACGCGATGAAATACCTGTCCGCGATCTGCGCCTACGGATACGCCTCCGACGGGGATTCGTTCTGTGAGAAGATGTTCCTGCGAGCCAAGGCCTTCAAAGAAGCCACCCAGCTGCGCCGTCAACTCACAGATATTGTGCGAACCAACAACCCCGGTCTCGTCGGTGCCTACCAGGCGCGTCTGCCGGAGCCCTCCGAGAAGCAGGTCAAGGCTCTCAAGCAGATCATCACCGCGGGTTTCATCGACAACGTGGCCCTCCGCGCCGATCTTGCGCCTGTACCTCCGGAGATGGCCCGGACGCCCAAGCGAGCCATCGACGTCCCGTACTTCACGCTCATGCGGTCGCGCGAGGGACCGGGCTTAGAGCTAAACGAGAAGTGCGTCTATGTGCATCCCTCGTCCATCCTTGCGCAGATGTCCGCCAAGGAGATGCCGCAGTACATTGTCTATTCCCACCTGCAGCAATCTTCTCCGTCGGTGGTGGCGGCCGAGCAGACCCCCAAGATCCGGATGTATCCCCTGGCGACTCCCAGCGGACTGCAGCTCTCCGCCATCGCACACAACACGCCGCTGATTGAGTACGGGAAGCCAATCGGCAAGGCGGAGACGATCGAGGGGATCCCCGAGCGACGCTCATGCTGGGTGATCCCGGCGCTGGTCGGCGAGGCCGGTGGTTCGAGGTGGCCTTTGCCGGCGAAGAAGGTCATCCAGAAGAAGGATCCCAAGGAGGGGTGGGTGATCGAGAAGTTTGTCAGTTGAGGTATATATAGCGACGAAGCCTGCAAGCAAAAAGTTATGAGAATATAGTTAATGTACAGCTGTGTGTGCTCATCGAATCCAGCATTGCGATTTGCAACTATGCGATAGTGCCGGCGTAGCGGCGCAGTAGGAAAAAAAACCCCTCAAAAGTATAACGCCCAAACACCCATCAAACCTCCCTTTCCTAAAAACCCCAAATACAGAGGAAAAAATAAAGCATCATCAAAATAATCCAACCACCCAGCCCAGCAAAACCACACCCCCGGAATACCACAACCAATCAACCAACCAATCAATCATCAATCAATCCCTCCGCCTGCCCCCCGAAATCTCCCCGGTCTCCCTATCCTCGCGAATCCCCAACGCCCTTCTCAACCGCTCACTCTCCTCAATCTTGGCCTCGGCCAACTCATGCACCTGATACGACTTGAACTGCTTCTTCGAAGGAGGAGGCATATCCCTCTCCCTGCCCCACCTTCCGCTCCTCCCACCACCAGAAACATACCCCGAAGCACCCCTGCCACCATCCCTCTCCTTCCGCGATGCAACCCGCCGCCGCTCCGCCGCCTCCTCCTCCTCCTCCAACTCCTTCAACAACCTCTCCCGTAACTGCTGGCATCGCTCGTCAATCTCCTCCTCCGAGAGCACCCGTTCCCGTTCCCGTTTCCCTTGCGCCTCAGCAGCCTCGCCCTCCTCCTCTTCCTCCTTACCCTCCGCATCCTCATCCTCCTTCTGCTTCTTCACCCCAGCCCCCTTCCCCCCCTTCTCCCGCCCAGCAGCCGCATCCTCCAACCGCTCATTCGCATCCTCCAACTCCTCCCGCAACTCCATCACCTGGACCTCGACGGCGCGCCGCCGATCATGCTCGAGGATCTGCCGATCCGGCACCCGCTGCTTGAAGCCGCCGGCGGGGCCACCCCCACGCTCACTGGCCGAGTTGGCCCCGGAGACGGGCGGGTACGGTTGGCCGTAGCCCGTGGCGCGGGGCTTGATGAAGGCGGCGTTGCGCTGGACGTAGCCCGAGGTGCCGCTGCCGCGGGGCGTGGAGAGGCCGACGTTGGAAGACATGGTTTTGTTTCCGATCGGTGGGGCTTTTCGTGTTTTGGGTTGGTTCTTGGTTCGTGGTTGGCTGGAACTGCTCACTCGTTGGGGGAAGGCGAGGGCAAGGTAAGGTGAGTGCGGTGGTCGTGGTCGTGGTTGTCGTCGTGATCTGGGTGATTCTCTGAAGGATGAGGTTTCGTGGAGATCGGGGATGTGGAACGTCGTCCGGTGCGAGGAAGTTCGACTTGTGGTTGCGATGGGTTGCGATTCGTTGATTTGAGGAGGTATGTGATGGTCAATGCTGAGAGGAAGGTGGATCACAAGTTATGGTTAGGTAGTCATCAAGATTAGCGATCTGGTTGTTTAGGTGAGAAAGGTCAAGCAAGCCAGTATTGTCGGATTGATCGTGGCGACGGAGCTCAAGGTTAATCATCCAGGTTTCTCTTGAGTTGGCGCCGCGCAGCTATCGGTCACGTGATGATAACAGAGCTGTGGCAATCATTACTACCGCGCACAAGAGAGAGAGAGAGAGAGAGATACCTCTGTAGTGACTAAGTGAAAACGACCAACCTACAGCACTGCAAACCAGAAAAACCAAAAAACGCAAACTAGACACATTTCAATTCGTGGTCTGTATACTAGCTAGAGTGCTCGGCCTCTACATGCTCTAGGCATCCCGTATGTTCTCCCTATTTCCAGGTCTCCCATTATGTCCAAGGTCCCACACATTTTGTTAACCCACCGAAGGAATTCAAGCGCGATGCCCCATAACCCATGATTCACCAATAACTGACGCCGACCCTTCGTGTTGTTAGGACACAGAGAAACAGAAAATATCGATAGCTATGGAGGCGTGTCCTCATTTTCGTCACAAAGAACTGCAAAGGTAACAGAAGAAAGTACATCCACAAGCAATTAAAGAAGTAGAGAAATAAGTTTCAAGAAGCAAAAGGGGCGGGGGAATAGTAGTAGTGAAATAAAGCAAATGAACTCAAGTCTCCGCCATGTCCCTGGATATTGCGCCGTCAAGCCATGAAAAGTGGGCGGAAAGATGAGGAGCAGTCTCTCCTTCAGGCCCCGGTATGTATACGCCCCGAGCAATAATGTCGTTGAAGAACTCAGAACATCGGAAAAATAAAGCTATATTTCAGAGAAAGCAATGTTAGATATAAGGCCGTTGCAATCTATGTCGCCCCAGGGACTTCGACGGACGCGCTCGAGTCCGCCTCGGCTAGTTCGGATTCAGCCAGCGAGGTCACGGTAGCCTTGGGGATATTCTTGAACTCGGAAGAGGTATCTGCGCCGCTTTGACTATCAGTCGGAGGGGGGGTTGGAGGTGCTGCTCCAACGGGAACCCGGCCGTTTTCGACTCCGTTGACTGCACGCTTCGACGGCTGGGGAGAGGATTTATGCGAGTTCGGGGGTGTGGTAGAGGTAGCTGTGTGAGGAAGGGGCCCTTCGGCACTAGGGTTGATCCCAGCAATCAATTTCTCAATGGCGACAATCTGCTTGCCGTAACTGTACTTCTTCAGCTGATCAAGCATCGGCTGGATGCGCATCACAAGGGCGTATTTTTCTTCGGGCGAATCTTGTAGTTGACCAAGAATTTTCTCTGTGGGGAGTTAGCAGCTGCAGTTGACTTTGCTAAAGAGTGCCAACTTACGGATGACATAGTTGCCGTACTGGTCACGCATCAAGCCGATGAGGGGAGTATCACCCCGATCGTTGACACTGGTCAAAGTGTCGATGATCTGTCGACGTTGGGATTTTTCCCCAAACTCGATGCTCTTTTCGACAACGTTACTGGCGAACTTGTGCTTCGAGTAAGTGAGCAGCTGGCCGATGACAACATTGATCATGCGCGACCGATCCTTCTCCTCGCCATTTTCAATGACATGTTGAATCACGTAGTTACCAAATTGGTCGGAAATGAGTTTGGCTGTGCAAGGGTGCAATTCGGCCAAGATGGATTCGCGATCGGCTTGCTCACAGTGCTCCAGCATGCGCTGAATAACACGGCATCCGTATGGGTGAGCAGACAATTTCTCCACTTGACCCTTGAAGGCATTGATGATGAACTGCACATATTCGGACGGAACTCGCTCAATGGCCTTTTGAATCACATGGTTGCCGTTCTGATCTCGCACACACTTGAGAACACTGGATTCAAGCTCTTTGACCATGGAGGCTTGCTGATCAGTCAAGATGTGTTCAAGGGCCTATAGAAGGATGCATTAGCAACAACAATTAACCAAATAACAGACACCGCAAGCTTACCTTTTGCACCACACGGCACCCATACATTTGGGTAGAAAGAGAAAGGATATGCCCCTTCATTTGATTGGCGAGGATTTTCTTCTGGGTCTGATTGCCGTGTTCGAAAAGCTTTTGCACCACGTAATTTCCAAAAACATCCGTCATCAGCTGCAAGCTGTTCGACTGGATTTCCCGGAAAACCTGCTCCTTCTCGTCACTGTTTGCAGTCTCGAGTTTCTGCTGGATGAATCGTGACCCGTGCTGATCACCGCTGAATTCAACGATATGACCGTATATATCCTAGAACTGGTCAGCAAGGATGTCATCGTGCAAGGTCAAGGGATACACACCTTCAGTTCATAGCGTTTGTTCCCCTTACTGTTAGCCCTGAAATCTTCCAGGACAGGGCTCCGGACAACCTGCGAAGAGAGGTCCTCACGTTGTCCCCTCTGAAGGAGAGCGGCTGCACCAAGGTGGGGGCCAGGGTGGTATAACCCAGACATGCCATTCACTCGATGGACTGCCGGATACCCGTTCATATTGAGTTCGTAGCCGGGACTGAAGTTCGCACGCTGAAGCGAGTTTGCGGATTGCTGAGCAAGCTCGTGATCAGCGCGCATTCTGTTCAACACTGCAGCCGGGTTCTCGGACAATTGGCTTGCGGATGAGTTGCGGTAATGGGCGCCATTGTCGTGTCCGTAGAATGGGCTCTCCATCCGGTTGAACTCGACGGGTGACAAAGTATGACCCTCCGGGACACGGGACCTGACGGTTTGATAAGCCAGTGGCAAGTCTGCAGTCACATTCTCATTCCCGTAGTTGGTGGCAATCTGATAGTTCATATCATCGCTGGTGCTTTGATAGTTAAGTCGCTGGACAGCATTGTCGTATGATTGATGAGAGACGAAGCCCGGACGACCGGCAGTCTGCGCACCGATGCTACTCTCATTGAGCTGTAGCTTGCCTAATCCTGCACTGATGTCCACTGATCCCGATCGGCCTTCATATCCCTGAGACTCGGAGTGGAACGATGGGTAGGAAGAGTGTGGCGGTCTCGGCGGCGCAAAAGACGCAGAGTTGTGCGAGACATGCGCATAGGAGTTGCGACTGACGTGCTGGGGCATGAAATCAGGCAGAGCTTGAGGAATACCTTGCATGGCCATTGACGAGGGTACTTCCTCCGCTCTATTGCTCTCCAGGTTGGGAAATCCAGGCTTCATTGGGAAGCTCGAGCCCACAGGGCTACTGGTAAATGTAGCGGTGTTGACGTGCCGTCTACCATCATTACTGCGAAACCCTCCGAAGTTTGCGAGCGAGATAGCGTCACTGGAAGGAGATATGCCTTCAGTTCTTCCATTCAAGTAAGGCTGGTGACCCGCGCTGCCGGAAGAGCCGCTAACTGTTGACTTTGGAAGGGCAAAATATGAGGATGCGTCGGCTGCTTCAGATAGAGCGGCGGCGCTGCGATCATTGGTCCGAGTCTGAACAGGTGACGTCGTCATGCCGCTATTCGGGCCCCTCGACAGTGCGCTGCTAGATGTATTGATCGTACCCCATGGAAGGCTGGGCCTGGTGTTCCAACCGTCGGACTCGGATGTCGATGTCGACAACAAGGAGCTTGAACCAGCCTTGCCTTCAAAAGCATTATCCGCGTTGTGTTGATCTAAGTACATACAATCAGTACGGCACGGCTTCCTCGGCGGATTCATCCATCACTTACCATCGAACGTTCGTCCCCAAATATTATTATTGCTCCAGCTTCCGTTGCTGCTTCCGAAGCCTTTCCCCATGCTTGCGTGAGAGGTTCGTGACCTGTCACTGACCACATTTGCTGAATTCATATTGGATCCTCTGTTCGACCGTCCCTATGAATGTTGTTAGCCACACTGTCCCAATCGCCACATTTTACTTTCCACCTACATTGTGACCTGTGTTCGCGTTGTTGGATGTCATAGTGGGCATTCCACTATAAGAATTCCGCTATCCAGTATAACCGACTGTATGAATATATCTTCGCCCAAAGACGCTTGGTTTGCTGCTTCTGCTTATGTGAAGCCTCCGAGGGGTACGGTCAATGCCACGGTCGAGATCGATACGTATAGGTATAACCGTCCGAGTAGGATGAAGAAGGACACGAGCTCTGTAACAGATAGCGGACTGCACGAGAATTAGCCATATGATCGCTCCGCGTTCATGAGACTGTGTGAGAACTGAGGATCAACTCACAAGAGAGGCAGGAAGAAGCGGGACGAGGAAGAGAAGGGATGGGGACAGGGAAGAGGAGACAGGTTCAACGGAAGAATAGGAATATGTTCTTGTCCAGAATAGACACGGTCAAGCAATGCAAGAATTACACAGGGGTCTCGAAGGGATGGGGTACGGAAGGGAGGAAGAGCGTGGCAGGCGAAAAATGCTTAACAGAGGAAGGAGGTAGGCCCGACGAAGAAGAAGAAACGCAAGGCGACCGGAGCTTCTTCGTATGCCAGCGCGATGCTCCGCACGCAGCAGTAGATCAAAAATCGCCCAAAGGTATTGCGATGTGACTATGCTCCGTGCATGCTCCAGAAACCTCGAAGTTCGCAGATCGTCCTCATGTGCTCTCCAGAGAAGAGAGGGATGGCCGACACGGGTCCAGTTTTAATCAGACAAACGTTAGGAGCTTGGATGATTCGCAGCGGCAAGGGGTGTGGGGAGGGGCGAAGGGTTGGAGGAGATTGCAGTTGGTATGGAAGGAGAATGTGCTTGTTGCGCAAGACGGCGTGATTTAGTGGAGTGTCGAACGATGGGAATGTGGACGAGAGACGAAGCACGGCATTAATGTAATTCAGTTGTGACACAAGGCGAAAGCAAGCATGACACCCGAACTGGTCCCAAAGCAGATCAGTATTTTATCGCACCTCTCGTTTTATTTAGACTTTCGCTGAGAGGGTGAAACTGCGGGAAATCGGTCGGGATTTATATGGAGGGGGAGAGTTTGTTAAAGACAAAAAAAAATAATAATAGAAATAAAATAGGATGGGCGGAAAACAGTGACCGAGAAGAGAGTGAGAGAAGGAGAGAGATGAGAGAATCACGTAGTAAGTGAGAGAGTTGGTTGAGAGTTGAAGGTCGGAATGATTTCAGAGTAGGGAAAAGAAAAGGTTATTTTAATAA